ATGTTTTTATGTGCTAAAAGTTATATGTTTGCCATATATGATATTATTTGTTCGGATCTATGGTCTGTTGCCGACCGGATCTGGAAACCTTATGTGTTTAGGATTCTAAGCGTACGACTACGACATTAGAACTAGCATGTAAACATTTCGGAGTGATAATGAAGATTTGAACGTCTATCGTGAATAAAGATCTAAATTCGCCTATTTGGTGTATAGATCAAAATGGAAAGAACCCGAAGTGGAGTTGGAAATGCAAACGGAAACAGGAATCAAAACCCTCAACCCCAAGTACTTGAGCAAGTACCTGTTGTAGCAGCTGCACCTGAGCCAATGACGATGGCTGGGGTACAAGCGATGATCCAGATGATGTTGGATCGTCAAATGGAGGCGACGAGGCAACTACTACAACAGAATAGGGAAGAAACTACGATACCTGTTGAACAACCCGAATTGAATGAAAGGCAATCAGAAGGAGGGAACTACAGTGGGACTGTTGGTCAAGCCAACCCACCGATAGTTAGACGAAACAACCAGGATGGAGGAGGTGATGGACGTGGATGCAAATACAAAGATTTCATGGCATCCAAGCCATCGTGTCTTTCTGGAAGCCCGATACCGGTGGAAGTTATGAATTGGATCTCCGAAATGGAGACAATGTTTGAGAGTTGCGAATGCAGAAACAGACAGAAGACCGCTCTCGCGATCCCTCTGTTAAAATCTGGAGTACTGAGCTGGTGGAAGCTACTGGCTGATTCAATGCTCAAGGGAGAAGCTAATAAGATGTCTTGGTAAGACTTCCTGGTACAACTAAAAATGCAATACTGCTCTGAGCAGGATCTTCTGGAAATCAATAATAAGTTCCAGAATTTGAAGAAAGGGAAAATGAGCATCACTGAATACGCTACTAGTTTCACGGAAAAGATAAAGCTTGTTACTTATCTAGTTCCAACTGAACTTTCCAAGGTCAACAAGTTTGCCCATGGATTACCAGCGGACTTTGGTCCAATGGTCAAGCAAGCAACCACTTTGAAAGCCGCCATCTGGGTTGCTAAGAATGTTGAGATCCAGATCAGGGAGAAGGGTCTGGAGAGGACAGAGGTTGGTGAGAAAAGAAAGTTTGAAGGAACTTCAGGTTCCAACAAGGAAAGCAAATTTTCAAAGTTTGGAGGAGGAGGAAGTGAAACAAGGTGGTGCGATAAGTGCAAGAAGAAACACTTGAGAAAATGTGGCGAAGAGGTGATATGTTTCAAGTGTGGGAAGTCTGGGCATTACGCCAATGAGTCAAAAAGCCAAAAGTCACAAATTTCTGACTTTTAAAACCACTCATTTTTCTTCTTGCCAAAAAAGTCATTCTAAAAGGACTTTTAGAATTACCAAACACATTTTCAAACTTTTAGCTTTTGAAAAAGCCAAAAGTCCATAAACTCACTTTAAAAAGTAATTCCAAACACCCTCTAAACGCATTGTAATCTCTTACCCAACCCACTTTATTTAGTATCGAATTCGTGTCGGGTTAGCGTGTCATGTCAGTTTTTTCAACTTGGACATTATAAGTTGTCTCCATCGACTTTGAATATATACTTTGTCTTGACAAAATCCTTAAGAGAACCTAAATCAACGTTTCAGGATGTTGTGGGTAAAATCCTTAAGAGAACCTAAATCAACGTTCCAGGATGTTGTGGGTACTATATTTCATATTTTGTTTAAAATAGGGGAACATAAACAGGCCGGTATCTATCGGATCTCAGATCCGAAATGAATCATTTCGGAATAGTTGGCGAAATTTGTAAATGGACAAAAACTTGGCCATTTAATATAATTTATAAAAATCATGTGGTCATTTTTATGACTATTCTTTTTTAAAATGATAATTATTTTATTAATATTTTTATTCTAAACATTTATGAATACTCTTGCTAATACAAAAGCACATATGTAGTCTATACACCCATGTTTACAAAACAAGCTGAAGTATGTAACATCCCGAAATTTCAGAAGTTTAAGGAAGGGCCAAAAGTGTAAATAAAAGAAGGGACTCGACGAGTAGGTCCGCTTACTCGCCGAGTCGGAGCGGGATTTTGTCGCAGGTTTAAGTGGCCAACTCGCCGAGTCGGTGGCTAGGACTCGACGAGTTGGTGCTGAAGAGAGAAAACCCTAATATTAGGGTTTGCACCCTATATAAAGAACATTATATCCTTCCCACAGCCCCCTTGCTACCCTGAGAGTTCCAGCAAACCCTAGTTCGTATGAAACACCATTGATTGAGGAGATTGGAGCTTGGAAGAAGATTTTGGTGTAAGAGGCTTGAGGAATTAGAGGCTAGCATCAAGGGGCTTGTGTAGATCTGGAATCTACATTAATTTGGGCACATCTCAGAGGTAAGAAGCCTTTATCCTAAGCTATTTCCTTTTTGGATTCATCCATGGTGATTGATTTGGGGTCCCTTAGCTTGTTTGAGATCTATTTCGGGTTTAGAGGCTAGATTTGAGGTTGCAACTTCGGATCTAGGTTAGTTTTGAGCTATGAGAGCATAAAGCATCATCCTTTGGGTTTGTTTGAAAGGATCCTTGTCTCAAACCCAATCCCTAGAGTGATTTGGACCTTTAACTCCTTGGTTTCACGTAAAGTTTGCAACTTTACGTAGGGGTTATGCCCTAGAAGGGTGGATCTACAGTTTGGAACCCCTGCATGGCTCGAAAAGCCTCTGTATGGATTGAGAACTGAAGAGACTCGGCGAGTCACATGGGTGTACTCGACGAGTTGTATGAACATGTGCATGGACTCGGCGAGTTGAAGAACAACTCGGCGAGTCTGTTGAAGATTGCCTTGGACTCGGCGAGTCTGGTTGCAGAACCCCAATCTTTCTGGTTAAACCTCGAAGCAGTGAGTCGGGAGGTGACTCGGTGAGATGAGCAGGATGGGACTCGGAGATCGTTGGACTCGACGAGTCGTGGGGTGACTCGACGAGTTGAGTCGTGTTCTAAGAGTTTTCAGAGTATAAGGACTCGACGAGTCAACGGGTTGACTCGGCGAGTAGAGTCAGTTATGAAGGTTAACTTTGACTGAGAACTTTGACTTTGACCAAGAGTTGACCAGTTTGATTTCCAAGGGTATTATGGTAATTTTGGTATTTATGGAATTGGTTCTTTGGTAGTGTTCTGTGGTGGAGTTCGTGTCGGTGGTCGGAGCAGTTTGGTCTTATCTCTTCAGTCGGCAATTGTAGGTGAGTTATCCTCACTATATCGACAGGGTCTACGGCACCAAGGCCGGCCCTTTATCGGATGGAAATCCGGGTATTGTTTGATATGTTATTGCTTTGCTAGATCCGCATCCTGGTAGTTAGGATGGTGTTATGTTAGTGACCTGGTTAAGGTCGGTACCCGGTATATAGGGTAATGTTATGCTAGTGACCGGTTAGGTCAGAATCCTGGTTAGGATGTTGATATGCTATGTGATATGTTAGACTGTTTGTCTGGTTAAGGATTGTTATGTGATTAATTGTTTTATGTGCACATGGTTGTTTGATGGGGGTTGGGTTGAGGCGGGTCCTGCTTTATGCTGTAGGCCAACATACCCAGGGCGGACCGGAAAGACCGAAGGCCCAGCGAGCGGTCCGGATAGGCTGAAGGCCCCGAGAGGGCGGACCAGACGTGCCGAGGCTCGGAGAGTGGACCAGGCCGACTGAAGGCCCGGTGTGGGCGGACCAGTCATACTGTAGACTCAGAGAGTGGACCAGGTGGATTGAAGGCCCGATGCGGGCGGACCAATCACACTGTAGACTCGATGTACATGGCTAGACTCGGAGGGTGGACCAGGTGGACTGAAGGCCCGGTGCGGGCGGACCAGTCACACAGTAGACCTGATGTGCATGGTTGTTCTATTTGTGATATGTTATGAGTATGTTTATGTGTGGTTGGTATTTTGGGGGTAACTCACTAAGCTTTCGGGCTTACAGTTTCAGTGTATTGTTTCAGGTACTTCAGGAGATCGTGGCAAGGCAAAGGCGTGATCGTACCGCTCCTCATGTTTTATGATTTATGTGATATGGTTCTGGGGGATACTCTGATGTTTAAACTATTTTGAAAACAAGGTGTATGAACTTAATGGTTTTTGAATGAATTAAAATGTTTTAATTTGGCTCAAATTTTATGGGTGTTACAAAATAGCTTTTATTCTAAAGTAGCTCGAGCTCAACAAAGCTCGTGTTTGAGTCAGACTAACAACAACAACAACAACAACAACAACAACAACAACAATCCTATTAGAATTTTGTATGGGGAGATAAACGTTGACAAAAATGTTTACATAAAGAAAGAATGATTGTATCACATAGATGACTTTTAATGCGTGCAAAACGATAATACAAAAATGAGTCAAAGTAAAGAGTCGAACATAATCATTGATTCGTCATAAACATTGATAGACCAAATCCATACTTAATCTGACAGTTTTGTAAGTAATTTTGCTGAAGGCTCGAACTCGAATCGAGTTAAATTCAACCTCATTAGAACTCGATTAGCCGATTAGGTAAGAAATTTATGCTGAAATTATATTTGATATCTTGCAAATTTAGGGCAAGAAAGACTCCATAAAATATTCTGTTGAATCCTTATAATAAGGTTAAGTTTGATTCGTTATATATTTTGAACTCCTTTTTTAAATTTTAATTGAGTCGACTAGAATCAATTTTGAATTTGAATAGCTTCAAAAAATTTCAAGATAAAACTGTTTTTATTATCATTAAAAAAAAAAGAAAAAAACAAAATAAAACTGTTTTTATTATCATTCCAAAAAAAGAAAAAGACAAATCAAAGTAGAGGGACCCAAAACGTATCTTCGCCAAACTTTCAACCGGGTTTATTCAAGATCCAAATTCCACTTTCCAACTGGGCATATAAAAAGTGTAAAAACAGCTCACCAAACCTTCCGTAACTGGGATGATTACCACCACAATTGCATGCGTTAAAGCCATTTGAACTGACTGTGTCTCTGTAGAAACCACGCAATTTTAACAAAAAATTTCTTTGCATCAATCAATATTTTTTCTCCATTGATGCACAGGTCGTGCTCCAAGAACCAAACAGGTAAACAGATATCGATTCTTCTTCTCCCTTTTATACTTCATTTCACTTATATCACTCGGAATGATTCTCAATCGAATCGAAGTTGTTCTTGTTCGTGATCATAATTATCCTTTGAATTCAACATATCTATGGTTGAGTCCAGAAGTTTTGGTTTAGGTGTAGGTTTAGGTTTTGCTTGGTGATTGGTTTATGGATTATTTAAAAACACGTAGAATATTGCGTAAGAGCTTCACTTTAAATTTTCAACTAATAAGTTCACAATGGTCTTGTATGTTTTGCAAAAATCCCATATACATACATACTTGTTTAGCCTTCAAATTCCATATGATAATTTTTGACATGATATCTCTTGTATTCAGAATCATAAACATGGTTTTCTGATTTTTGATGTTCAGGCTTGGATCTCATGTTCGTGACATCTACTTCATCCCCAACTACTGCTTACAGTTTCTTTATATATTGTCTGCATTCTTTCATCGTTCCTTTAGAAAGAAGATCAGGGTAGCTTGTTATGTTACATAAGTATATATCAAGATTTTGTATACAACAAATATGGACATTAAAGAGAATATCTTGATGGGAAGATATGAGTTGGGTAGATTACTAGGTCAAGGCACATTTGCAAAGGTATACTATGCTCGCAATTTGAGAACAGGATCAAGTGTAGCAATTAAGGTAATAGACAAAGAGAAGGTTTCAAGAATTGGGCTTATTAATCAAATCAAGAGAGAAATATCAATCATGAGACTTGTGAAACACCCTAACATCTTACAACTTTATGAAGTCATGGCAACCAAAACCAAGATCTATTTTGCCTTAGAATACGCCAAAGGAGGTGAGCTTTTCAATAAGGTATCAAAAGGAAGGCTAAAAGAACATATAGCTCGTAAATATTTCCAACAGTTAATCAGTGCCGTTGATTTTTGTCACAGTAGAGGTGTTTATCATCGTGATTTGAAACCCGAAAACTTGTTATTAGATGAGAATGAAAATCTTAAAGTCTCTGATTTTGGGTTAAGTGCTCTTGCTGAATCGAAGCGTGAAGATGGCCTCCTGCATACGACGTGTGGGACCCCTGCTTACGTGGCACCCGAAGTGATCAATAGGAGAGGCTACGATGGTGATAAAGCCGATGTTTGGTCTTGTGGGGTGATTTTATATGTTCTTTTAGCTGGTTATCTTCCATTTCATGATTCAAATATACTCGAAATGTATAGAAAGATTGGAAAATCGGAATTTAGGTTTCCAAATTGGTTTCCATTAGAAGCACGAAGATTGATCTTGAGAATCTTGGATCCGAATCCCGTTAAAAGAATTACAATTTCGAAAATAAAAGAAAATTCCTGGTTTAAAAAGGGAAAGATCGAAAATAATGGAGCTTCAGGGTCGTCGTCGTCAACGGTCATAAAAAGTCAAGATTCAATGAAGCCGTCGAGTATGAATGCGTTTCATATAATCTCCCTGTCTCCAGGGTTCGATTTGACAACGTTGTTTGAGGAATCCCGACATAAAAAGGAGGCGAGATTTACTATTTGGCGGCCGGCTTCTGTTATTATTTCTAAATTGGAAGAAATTGGTGAAGTTTTAGGGATGAAAGTGAGTAAAAGAGAAGCGGGGTTGTTGAAATTGGAGGGAATGAAGGAGGGCAGAAAGGGAATTTTGTCAATTGATGCTGAGATATTTGAGCTTACGCCGTCGTTTCATATGGTAGAAGTGAAGAAATGTAATGGAGATACGTTGGAATATCAGAAAGTAGTAAACGAAGGTTTAAGACCTGGACTTGCCGATGTAATTTGGGATTGGCAACAAGATCAAGTACAACCAGAGCAGCATGAGGTACTACTACAACAGCAGGATCATGTTTTGTGATCAACTTTCTAATTGTTCATATCCATACTAATGGTTGTCTTTGTTGTTAATAAATAATAAATGAAATTTAAAAAAATGGGATGATATTTAAAAACAGGATGTGATTCTTCACTTAAGAAATTGATTCTCCAATATAAAGGGTTATGGAATTTTCATCTTTACTTATTATTACCAAAATCATAAACTTACGCTAACATCATGGGTATCCCAAGATCTTGGATTAGTCAATATCTTGGGAATGGCATCGTATTTATTATGATATTATATGCAGGGTTAAAGGGCTTGAAACGTTGAGTTTATGCGGAAAACCTGGTCAAGCCGAAATCAAGAAAGATCCCTAGATTATAAAAAACTTTATTATCTTATACATGTGTAATAGTCTTGCTGATCATAGCACACAGACACATCGCCTCTCACTCTCTCTTTCTCTTTGAACACTCTTTAGCACAACTACACTCATCATACGATCAGCACCTGTAACCTATTTTCTACTTAATCAAAGTTCTAAAACAATGTGACTTTGTTATCTCTCGAGATTTTATGCTGAAGATCCTAAATGATTGAAGGCTTTCATCATATATTTTGTGTTCTTGCATTTATTTTATTTGCTACGAATATCTTAAGATTTATCATTTTATTCAACAAGTTTACACCTTTAACATTATTTTTGTCCTGATTTCTAAATACATATACATTCGTATCTTGAATTCAATTGTTACTCTTTAAGAGTCTGAAATTTACTTTAACATCACTATTTTATTCTCAATATATTAGGTACGTTCAAGGTCTTAAGCACATTTCAAGATTTTAAGCGCTTCACTATTCAGCATTTTATCTAAAATATCACACCACACTAACTAATTTGCTTACTAAATTACTTGAACAATACATTCATATATATATATATATATATATATATATATATATATATATATATAATATATATATATATATATGAGAATTACGACATAACCTTTAACCTTTGAAAAATGGAAGGAAAAAATAAATAATGTCAAGTTTATAAAAGGTTAAGGGAGGAGGGAGTCATTCCCTCCCAACCCACCGAACCCACTGTCACATCAGTTTTTTTCTTTCATTTTTCTTCATCTTTCCCAACCTACAACACACGGAAATCCTATCTTTTTTAACTCACTCAACCCATTCAATTTAAAAAAAATACAAAACAATCAACGTAAAATCTTAATTAGCAATAGAGTTACCGCCGGTACCACTCCCTCTTCAGCGGATTGTTTAATTGGTTTCACTAACTCACTGCATCCTCTCTCTCTACTTTCTCTCTCACTGTCTCTTGTACAATATGTTTTAAAACTTGTACTTTAGTTGTTTTGTGTTTTTTTAATTGAGTGGGTTGAAAAAGATAGAGTTTCTGTGTGTTATGGGTTGGGAAAAATAGAGAAAAATGAGAGACAAAAACTGATGTGGCAGTGTGTTCGGTGGGTTGAGAGGGAATGACTCCCTCCTCCCTAAGAGTAAAGAGTTAACGGGGAAAGATTATATCTATTTACTTTATCTGTTAAGTCTTTTTATGTGTCAAGTCGAAAACGATTTTTTTGGGAATTGTGAAAAAGTTTGTGGTATTTTGTGTAACACATGTATGACCTTACCTGATAAGTTGGTTTTTTATTATGATAAAAAGGTCTCTTTTTTTGGGTATCATGAAAAGTTTATGGTGTTGCTTGCAACACATGTCAATGCGGTGGATAACTTCTCTTTCATATTTTGTGCTCGTGACTTTGAAAAAGTGTGCCTACTTTTGGTTGATATCTTTGAATGATGATGTTAGAAAGATATAACTTTGCTTCGTTATGGATGATGCTAAGTCACACGATCACGTGATGGTAACAGAAGGCATCTATAGCGTATAATCATGTTATGTACAAAACAAAACATGTTTAATACTTGCAAATATAACATATATCTCGTAACTAAAGGGGGCAATTTCAACTCGTATATATAAAAATGGGTCACCTTTGTTTATATTTTATTTTCGAATGTTCAAATGGGAAATTCGTTTAGAAATTAGTTAAAAAAGAGATTGGCCAAACATAAAAGTTGTCCATCTGATCTGTGGTTCAAATCTTCGTGTTAGGTTCATTTTTAGCATACGAGAGGTAATCTAGGTTGATACGAACTTCACGTTACCTTGTTGCCTATAACAGTGTGTTCTTTTTGAACGATGATTGCATAAATGCATGACGCTTTCATGTTGTTACTAGTTAGTTTCTAACTAACTATCAAACTGTCATTAGCTTATTTAACTACCACTTATCATAAATAGAAAACTAATAATAAAACAAACAAACAAACTACATATGATAGAATGAATGATCATTCCACTCTTTATGTAATAATAAAACAAATAACATGAATTACAATTGAGTCCCTCAACTTTCACCATACACCTGTTTTAGTAACCAAGTTTGGCTTCTTTCACTTAGATAGTGAAAGCTGGTCGCTGTAAACAACATACACTTACACACATATGGGAGACTGAGTCAAGTCAATAATCTCAGGGCAGTCAACAAAAACCGCCCTTTTCTTCCTTCTTGAACTCGCCCTGTACTCCGGTGATGGACTGAAAACATCTATCACCTCAACCCCACCACCAGAAACAGGAATCTCAATTCCAATTCCAATTCCAGTCCCAATTCCAATTCCATCCTCACCCATACCCCCCTTCACTTTACCATTTCCATCTTCAATCACCGGAGACACAAACGATTTCTCTGGTGTATCACTGATCACCCACACCAGAGAATCATCAAGATTTTGAGTATCTGAAACAGAAGTTGCTTCTTCTTCTTCTTCAAAAATTTCATGATGTGAAGAAACAAAAACTGGTTCTACTTCTTGTTCATGAATTTCAGTATCTGAAACAGAAGTTGCTTCTTCTTCTTCTTCTTCTTCTTCTTTGTTGTTATGATGATTTGAAGAAACAAGAACCGGTTCTTCATCATCATCCCTAAAACTGTTGCCAAATCCAAACATATCATCTTCTTCACTTTCTTTATATCCTTCTGTGTAACATGGAAGTTCATCCATGGAGCGAACATGAACCCTCATGTGGCTGGGCAAGGTAGGGCACCCCGCATAATGCTTTGTGTATTTTGTTGAAAAGAAGTTTACATTGAGGTTCAAGCTTCATCAAATCATACAGATAAAATGTTAGTAAGTATGAACAAACACACAGAGATAATTTGAATTGAAAATAGTCAAAATCACTGTACATACTTGTTCCAGGTTGGTAGAGTGAGCATTGTGTATGCTAATTTGATCTTGTTTGCAAGTCCGCCCAGTGACTTAAAACCAACTGCCGCCTTTCTTACTGCTAGTGATTCCACAGGGTGTTGCCAAGCCCACTCAAACTGAGTAACAATGTAAAGAAATCTTGAATATTAATTCCACATTTTGATTATTTGAAAGGTGATTGGCGTTTTGAGTTGATAGATGATTGAGCATACCTGAAGAGCAGCAACATTAGTTGGGAAACCATAGATGCAGAGTACCATTTCCCAAGGGCGTTTTTTCTTGGTTCTAAATGCACCGCTGCATAATTCACCATTATGTTGCCTAATACGCCGCCGTGGGTTCACAGTGAATCTAGAAAATGATAAACACACATCATCATCAACCGATGTAAAATGAACTCAGAATAAGAAATTTGTAAGCTACAGGGGAATCAGTAACACAGATAAACTATAAACGTCGCCTGGATTGCTAATTATCGAGGAATCATATGGCTACGATTATTAAAAGCTTTAATTCATCGAAAGGAAAACATAACATTTGAAGTATAACAACTCTAATTTATCGATCAATGGGGATTGAGCGAGTTTCAGAAATCAGTAACGCAAATACACCCGAAATAGCATCTGGATCTCTAATTATCAAAGAATCATACATCGATGGTCATTAGAAACCGTAACTTGTGACAATTACTAAACAGAAAATGGAGATCGAAAGGAAAGCAAAAAATTACCCGATGTAGGTGTGTCCTTTGTATCTAGGGCAGAGTGACGTCAACAAATAGCAAGCGAAGAAGCCTGATTTCTCGCCTTCTTCTAAATCATCTAATCGTCCATTTCTGGATTCATCATCTCCTCCCCTACTAGAAGTATTTAGGGTTTCTGTGTTCTCTGATTGACGCCCCTTTCGTTTCCCCATCATCTCCACTAACGTTCACTTCACCCACCCAACGTCAGTCTTATAAAATCCGACCGTTACGAATTTAGACTTTTGACTTCTTAACAGGAAGGTATTGAATCAGTTCGAAATAAGTCGGTAATATTGATATCGAGCCGGGCTCCTTTACGGCCCATTTCAAAGGTTAACCTCACCGGTCACCACCATCTTCTTACCGTTAGAAATTAGAAAATTAAAAGAAAAAAAAAAACATATTTTTTTGTAAACAAAACCCAAAATTACCATTTTGCCAATCTATACTTGGTATAAGGATTAAGGGAGTTAGGGAGTCATCTTTATTATGGCAACCTAAGCTCAACCTAAATTTCATCTTGGTTTAGAAGAGGACGGGTGACATGGCAAGAAAGAAGAGAGCGGCAATGTTGGGAGAAAATACGAAGAGAGAGAAAGAGCTAAAGAGTGTTGTTGACAACACCTTTATTGTGCTTGCCACAGGTGAGGTCCAATGTGCCTTAGGACATGCCCTTGCCATGTAGGATGTCAAGCTCCTTTGCGACTCCACTCCACTTCGTTCGAGGACATGGGAGCTTATGGAGTATAAGTAAGTAGAGGAGATGTTGGTGGTTTAGGAGAACCGACTAATTGTTGGGAGGCGTTTACCTTGAAAAGGGTGGTCCCATGGGTTAAGGACTTAAGGTGATGTTTGGAAAGAAATGCGGATTGTAGCTGCGGTTCATGGCTTATGTCACAATACGATTTGTGCCTTATGTGTTTAGCCAAATGGTTGGTGTCGACACAAGAAATGGTTCCACACGTAGTACGAGATGGGAAGTTTCTTCTAGGAGTGATAATTCTCGACACGACACAAAACCGACACACAAATAAACAGGTTTAAGTTGACCTTAAACAGGTTCGAGTCATTTTTCAGGTTGACCCGTGTAACTTGTATAACAAACAGGTCGTGTTCGAGTTGGTAAGTAGATTCATGGGTCGACCCGTGTAACCGTATAATAAACAAGTTATGTTCAAGTTGGTAGGCAGGTTCACGAGTAGACCCGTCAACCCGTTTATTTTTGTAAGAGATTAAGGTTATGTTTGGCATACTAGCTGAAAAGTTAGTTATTAGCTAAAAAATTAGTTGATAACTGAAAAACTAATTGTTATATGAAAAACTAGTTGATAAAAAAATGATGTTTGATAAAACTAGCTGATAAGCTAACCGAAAGATATAAAATGACATTTAAAATAATATGTTTTCTATAATTAATTTAGGAGTATATTTTGAAAAAAAAAAAACTTCTGAAAAGCTAGTATAAGTAGTTTTTTAAAAAACTAGCTTATAAACTACTTTTTGGTCTGCCAAACATGACAATTTAAAAAAACTCAAAAAATAAACTAATTTATCAGCTAGTTCTGACGTACCAAGCACTGCCTAAGAGTATATATTATTTCAATTCTAATAGAAATTGTGTTTGATTATTCTATAATATAAAATTTCTACCAATAACTTTTCTTATGAGTATAAGCTTTATTAATTAGAGATAAAGGCACCTAATTTTATAAATAGTATGAAATATATTAAAATGAATGAAGATGATGCATACATGTTCTTATATAATGGTGACCCATGAACACAATTAAAACTCCTGAACTGACAAACCCTGTTAAACGGGTTAGACGGGTCGTGTTTGTTTTTGTTATACATGGGTGAGTGTTGAACCATATGACACATTTAGTTATACAAGTCATGTATGGGTCATACTTTATGAACCGCAGATCCGAACACGAGATGATTGTGACCCCTAGTTTCTTCATGGTTATCTCGATGAAGGAAACAGAAGGGCTCAACCAGAGGAGTTTATATTCATCGGATGGAGGATGGCATTGATCGATATTGGTGGTCTATGTAGGGTTGGAGCATTCGCCAAAGCATGGATACTGGTTGGTTTCCCAAGGTTTCAGTTTTGAGTATTGTAAGGATGTTATGCTTTCACGTATGGATGCGATTTGCATTAAAAATAGTGGGTGGACTTAGTAAGTAATGCCAAGGTGGAGAATGTGAAGAATATAGCATTATAACAAGTCTACTGACCATTTCTACCATATCGAAAAGATTCTAATTTTCACCACATATAAATAGGATTACATAGGGTACGTAGTTTACCCATTGTAGTTTATTTTGCTCTCTATTTTCTCTGTACATATTACATATACCTTTTCTAACTCATAGAATTAAGAGGCAGAAGAGGGAGAGACTGGGCCCAGATGGGGAAACTGATATGGAAATTGGAACATAATCATAGAAAGCAGGGTGAAAGTAAATAAAAGATGGCTGGAAAAACAAGGATCACCATTCACCAATACCATTCCCGGACCCAAACAAGTGAATTTTTAAACAAATACGGTAATCAAGGGTTTGGTATCGAGCTCCCATTCCATATTTAAATTTAATAGAATGAGTCATTGTCATATTATTGTAGTTCTTATTGAAGTGATATATGAATATTAATTTGATTGGAATATAAATAGGGAACTAAAAACAATAACCGTTGATTACTATAATATAATTGATGGTTTTATTAGACAAGCTCATCTTTGAGCACTCCTGTTTTTTTGGGGGAGGGGACAAATCTTTTTTTTTTTTTGAAAGAGACAAAGGCTCAGCAAACTTTATTCAGAAAAAATAAAAGAATACAAAAAGGTACAAACTGGATTACAGGAATAATAAGAACAACCTAACAAAGTTCCAACCAATCCAAATCCAACTTTTCAACCACTTTCTAATCACCCTATACACCCAAAATTTGACCCAATAACTTCTAACTAACCCACATAAAGAAACCCCACTAAAACCCTCAAAAACTCCCAAACTCCAAGAATTTATTAAGGATGGGAAAAAAGGTATCTTCTCCCCAAAGCTATATCTCTTCCAATTATCAACATAAAACCTCCAGCTTGGGGAGGGGACAAATCTTCCATATGCCCATATTCTAAATTCACCTGTTTATGTTATTTGTGATGGCTATATTGGGGATAATATTGTGTTTTGGACATCAATGCCTAAAAAACTAAAAAAGAATGAAAAGTTTGAGGAAGCATCACATCACTTGGCAATAGAAGGTTCAAAAAAATTAACCCTTTATTGCAAAACTCATTGGAGCTAAACATACCTAACGATGAAAGTCTTACGAGACAAAACTGCAAAAATGATCACTGTGGTTTGCACTTTTCTATGGATAAGGTCCAAAAATCTTTTAACTAGCAAAAATGATCATTATATTTACAAATAAACATTGTAGATCACACCATGTGAAAATAACTGCCACACTTTTGAACTTTTTGTTATTTTCTTGCGTGCTTACCAACTAGGTACCCTGTTGCTGCCAGAATAATGTGCAGCATGTGAATATGATAGTAGCACAAAACATGTCTAAACTTCTTTGTATATTATTATAAACATCATATGCTAGAATTTATAAAAGATATAATGTGGAATCCAAGCATCCAAACAGTAGGTTTTGTATTCTACAGCTTTGAGACTTATGACAGATTGACCTAAAGAAGCCAAAAACACAACATACAGAATGATCAAAACACAAATTCATATCCAATCCGGTTCCAAACTGTACATAGAAAAGGAAGCCCACATCCACACAAAATTCCCACCTGCATATTTGACATATTTGGATCATAAAATTAACAATTCTGAAAGAAAGATCAAAGGGGGCTATGAATCAATGTTTTTGGATGGAATGGAATCTGTCAAAAGAATGGAATCGGAAGGTAAACCTTCCCCACCCTGTGATTTGATAAAAGCAAGAACATCCAACAACATTCATCATGATCATGTTCATGACACCTTCATACAGATGGATACAACTTACCCTTATCCTTTCAATCCACTCTCTAAGATTATATTATATTTGTAAGAACATTACAGAAGCAGCACTACTATAGGCCTAAGTTCTTCCTAAAGGACATTTATCCTAACAGTGTAAGAAATTTGAAAAGAGTTGAAGCATCAAGATAAAAGTGTGTCAACATCAGGACAGTTTAAGAAAACAAAACATGATTAGGCAGTTGTATTATCCATGCATTGAGAGTTTTTGAATGCTTATTTTATACGTAAGGTGATAAATTTTTGTGTCTAGTAGATTAGAAACTAGTATCATCAAGTGAGTAACAACTACCATCAAGTTACCTAGATGCACTTTTCGCCTAATTTAACAGTAATTATAACTAAATACATTTAACAGAAAACGAATTGACTAAAACGACACTCACAGAATCAGAAGATTAATCCGATTGTTTGGAAGCAGAAACTAGGTTTCTCCACAAATACCGTCCACTCGCCATATCAACGCAAGTCCAAAATCCGTTCACAAAAGCACCGTAAATCTGTAATTAACACATCGACATTACATTTGTTTAAATTCGAAATTCTTCATCCAGAATTCTACAAAACAAGAACGAAAACCCTAGAAATCAAAGAAAGCACCTTAGAGGATGATCGTCCGACGGAGGCAGACGGTGATGATTTGCAGAATGATGTGGAATCGTCGGCAGCAGCAGTAGCAGCGTCGGTGTCCAAAGAAGTATCAGATTGAGATTTGATGTTCCGGAGAACGAAGAATCCGGCGAGAGTCGCCGACAGAAATATGAGAATAATTCGTAAAGGGCACATTCTATTTCTCTCTCTACAAGATATTGCTTCTAGAGAGAGAAAGTAAGTCCGGGGATTTGGTTAAATCATAAATGAGATTCAGGCCACAAGTCATGGTTGTTGATCCTTCATTTTCATTTTGCAATTAAATAATCTAATTTAATCTCCTTCCTTTCATTATAGTTACACAAATTTATCTCTCAATTTCCATTTATAAATTAAGACAAAACTGTAAATTTGGTCCTTGTGGTTTTGCAAAAAACCGTGGATAAGGTTTAAAAAGTTTTCGGTTTATATGGAAGGTTCAAAATCAAGAATTTTATTTTGTTTTAGTCCTAAAATTAAGAAATTTTGGTGGTTTTTGTCCTTAGCAAACCTAAAAGGATGATTTTGCCCTTTTAATTTCAATTTTTCATTTTTTATATCCCTTTAAGAATTTTATTAATTAAAATTAAACAAATAAAAGAATTGGGGCCACCTAGTCTTTCTTCTCTCTCTCTCTCTCTCTTAATCGTAGAACCATCCATTAAAATGATTACTTAGACCATCTCCAACCCACTTCCATTTTTTCCTCAAAAAATGGAGTAAAAAATGGGGTAAATACTGTTTAATCTCCAACTCTACTCCATTTTTACCCCATTTTTACACCTAAAAAGTATATTTCATTCTTCTAACTTATATAAATTGTCAAACACACCACTTCTATTAATTTGGTTTTAACAAATATATAATCTATATTTTTTTTCATTACAATAATATTAAATAAATAAGATTATATTTATAACACTTAATTATAATCTTTTGTATAATACGTTATAATGTTTTAACATTTTAATATATATTTAAATTTTAATATGAATTTGATAAACAAAAAACAAACTTTATATTTATAATTAATTAATATAATTTAATATATAACACAATATTATAAGTATTAAATATTACATTTAAATTATAGTTAGTAGATAAAAAAACCAGAAATGTATAAATATATAAAAAGAGGACTAAAATCGACAACTCAAAGTTCATCCCCATTTTGGGGGAAATGAATAGTATAACACCAAATATGGTTTTATACTATTCATTTCCCCCAAAATGGGAGAATAAATGGGATAGGGTTGGAGAGGAATTGGGGAAGAAATGGGAGAAATAATGGAAAATAAGAGTGGGTTGGAGATGCTCTTAGAGAAACATCGCCACCATGAAAACCCTTTATTTCTCTCCAGAAGTCATCCCTATGCTCTTCACCTTCATCTCCTTTGCAGATTCAACAACTTAAAGTTGGCTTGATTTTACCACCGAATCCACCACAAGTTGTAATAAAGAAGTTATCCAAATTTATGGATGTAACAGGGAAGGTTGAAAGATGCATTTATCCTCGGTCTTAAAAACCCAGATACCCACCAACATCCTCGTCTCCCTCTCCCCCTCCCATCCCGTCTATCCATGGAGGTATAATTTCATTAGAAACTAATACATAAATTACTGTGAATGAGAGAAAGGAATGTTTGATTTGCAGTGGTTCTAGGTTTCGCTTTCATTAAAGTTGGATTTGGTTTCTGGGATATTAGATTTCACTTTGGTTACTTGTGCTTTTGGTTTCAAGTTGATTTCACATTTGAGTAATTTCAATCCATTAAGAACATTTGTAAAAGAATCATATATGGATTTTTGGGCATATCAGTATTCCATTCTTACTTTATGCTTGAGTGCAAGGATTTGAAGCTCGAAATTACAAATGCTTAGAGGATTACACAATTGCTCATCCTGGAAACCTGCATTTGGGTGTGAATCGACAAAGTTTTGAAAGATACAATCTTGTGTAAAGGGGTTGGCTATAAATCGACAATGATCCAAGATATATGGCTTTCTGCAAGTTTTTTTATCTAAACTTGATTTTGATGAGAACTTTGGGTTTTTTTTCTCGATTGGGGTAAGATGTGAAAATTGTGTGTTTATTAATTAACTGTACATGGAGAGTGAGGATAAGAAACAAGACCAAAGAAGAAGACGGTGAAGTTGGGTCTAAACCCAATTAGATTTTTAGTGTTCATAATCATCGAGAGGTGGAGAGTATTGAAGGATACAGTTCGCCAGAGAAGAAAAAGTTCACTAGAAAGGGGGTGAGATGCCCATTGATTGATTTTAATCTACTGTGTATATATGTTAAACTCACATGTGACTTCTAGGAAACGAATTGTGTTCTTGTGAAATCAAAAGGAAGATACAATCTTGAAAGAATTGATGGGGAGTTGAGAGAGAGAGAGATAGAGGGGAGGGGTGAGATTTTATTTTTTATTTTTTTTAATTATTTAAATACCAAAATAAATAAAGAAAATAAAAAAAGAAATGAAAAGGGTATAACCGTATTTTCAAGTTTTTTTGGACCAAAAACACAGAAAAATCTTGATTTTCGACTTTCTATGCAAGTGTGAAATTTTTTGAACCTTATCCAAAGTTTTTTGAATACCACAGGGACCAATCTTGCAGTTTTTTCATAAATTAAGCATGTCGTTTGGATTTGGGATTTCTTATATAATGTTTTATTAAGTTATTGTGTTTTGATATATTAATAAGTTAATTTGAATGTTTAAGATATAAAAAGTAGTTTTTACCTATTGACTTAAAAAATTATAAAGTTCTTTTATTTTAATTTTGTAGTTTATTGTAGTTTATAACTATTAATAAGCTAATTAAATTGTTTATGTAGGTTTTTTTCCTTGTAGTTATCAAATTATTGTGTTTTGGTATTCTATAAAGTTAATCCAAATGTTGCTTAAGTTAATAATCGTTTTTAAAGACAAACAAAATTAAGCTGTTTTAAACAAGGAAATCTTAAAAAAAATGTCTAAATATTCTAGACTAATTAAACCATGATTTTATTTTCAAAAAAGAAAACAAAATTTGTAAATGTTTACACATTGAGGATTTTAATCGGTTACAAATTACTAAGGGCTTGTTTGATTTGGTGCTGACCCAGTTCGGTCAGAAGTTTTTGTCTTACTCGATCCAGTCAGTATGTTTGATTTGTATAGAATGGGGATCTGACCCGGTCTCCGTCCATAAAATTGATCTGACTCGGTCCTATAGAAAATAGAAGCTGACCGAGTAAGCGATGGAAGAAAGACATTTGTACACTGATAAAAAAACGTCTCCTTCCAACGCCTTCAACACAACGCCTTCTACATAGCGCCATCAACGACTCTTCCTCCTTCAAAAGGTCCATCCCGCCAGACATTTTCGCCGCCGCCGCCTCAGGCAGAGCCGCTGCCGCAAGCAGCGTCGCCGACCTCCGCCTCCCTGATGCAGGTTTCTCCTGCTGATCTCTGCCTCTCCTGATGCAACATGATCGACTGTTGGTTTTAATTGGATCGAAGCTCAAACAGTTGATTGCTTAACCGCTCAATCAAAGGTATGATCTTATGCCTTTTCTTATTGCAATTTTGAATTCTGGAGTGGACCTCGTTTGCATCTAAGGCTCGAATTTAAGCTATAGTTCCTTTCATTTGCGTCCTGGTATATAGGATGTTGTTATGCGATAGTGATATGTAGATCTAACAGTTAGTGTGTTGATTGGTTATATAATTATTTGTTTACTGGATATATGTTATCTGTTATGTATATGTCGACATAGTATAGTTGGGTTGAGGCAATGTTGCTTTATGCGGAAGTCAACAAAACCTGGGAGCAAGCCAAACATAAGTTGTGGGCCCGAGAGGCAAGTCAGACTTATGTTGTGGGCTCAGGAGTAAGCCGGACATGAGTTGTGGGCCGAAAGGCAAACCAGACTCATGCTCATGGGTAATTCAGTCTGTTAGCTGTGAATCCAGTATACATATTGTTATATGTTTGTGTGGTGGTACTTTGGGGGAACTCGCTAAGCTTTGGATTACAGTTTCAGTTTATTGTTTCAGATACTTCAAACGATCACGGGAAAGCAAATGTGTGATCGTGCACATCATCCTGGTTTTATGTTATTGGATTCTGGAGATACTCTTATTTGTGATTATTGCTTTTGAGAACAATATTTTGTAAACAATTGCGGTTTTTGGTTAGATTTTAAAAATATAAAATTTATCGTCATTTTAGAATGTTAAATGTTTTTATATGTTTTTTTACAGATTTAAATGAATAAAAACGAAATGTCATCATTCTAAAAAATAAAAAATAAAAACAAAACATTTCTCAAAATTTTGGTTTTGTTCTTCCTATTTCAGACAGGTTCTCAAAAAAATTTAATACATTCCAAAATATTTAGTACGAAACCTAAATCTGATATGTAACTTTTTTTTAGAGATATACATTATGTGATATAAGGTTAGTTCAAAACAAAATTGATATAGTCCGAAATAACCATTTGTGGTTCAAAAATTTGGTCCTTTCCGCATATTTTATTTCTAATAATAATGAGGTCAATCCCTTATTAAAAATATGAGAATCTCTAAATATTATTAAAAGAGAAACCTTATGAAATCATTTTAAACAATACGGACCATTGATTGTATTTAAATTCTATGTTTTCTACACTTAGATCAAATTGATGACATCATCTTCTCAAAATGGAATGTATTTAATTCCAATAAAAACTTTCCAATTTTCAAACAAAATTAACTTATATCCGTTGAAATAGAATGTATATAATTCCAATAAAATCTTCCCATATTTTAAATCTTGAATTTCCGGTTATAAAGATTTTAATATGGTCACTTTAAAAACATATTATTAACAAACCATTTCAATTAAGACATTAATATCAACCATTAATATATATCTGTTTATATTAGTAAACCATTAATATAAAATCTATTTTTATCAGGAAACCATTAATACCAAAAAATCATATTCAAATTATCACATACATATACGATTCATCATTGAATTTGCAGCTCACACTTATTTTCAATCGTTGCTTTTCTTCAAACATTCTCCCGCAACATCATTCTTATTGTTTATAACTTCCATCATCATTCTCTGCTTCAAACCTTCATTGTTGTGTAGTAGAAGGTCAATACATTTTTTCGCTTTTTATATTTTTTTTGATTACTTTTTTGTTCCTATATCAAATATATGTATTTATATATTTCGATTTTTTTTTGTCACAAATTACATGAAATCGGTTAACTACTTTTCTGAAACTTTTCAAATAAACAGGAAAAGATATTACGTACCTTTAACAAAACAAAAATTAACTATCTTTTGAATTGACACTAATTAGAAAAATGTTATTTTTATATATTAGAGATGATTATGATTTTTTTTAATTATTATGTCATAAGAATCCGGTTAATTTTGGTATGATTTAAAAATATTTTGGTATGATCCTATTACACTTTTAGGTTGATTTAATAGGAAATAATATATAATCTATTTATGCATCCTTTGAAATTAAGTATGCAAACAATTTTGTTGACAACTATAATAACTTTCATACCTCTTTATAAATCATACCTCTTTATAGATAAATACATTGTATACATTACTTTTATTTCATATTAAAGTACTTTTTAATTTTAATTGTTTTCTCTTTCATTTTACATCCATGACACAAAACAATCGCGATGAGATCGTCTTTGATAAGGTTGCTAACATCGATGCATCCAAGGAAACCTGAAATATTCATGTTCAAGTACTCTTGCTTTGGAAGCAAACTTAAAAAACAACCCAAACATATCCAGCAGCTTGGACATGATTTTAATTGACGAGTATGTACAATTTTTTCTTTTTATTATTATGTTGCTTTTAATTTATAACATTTTAAACTTAACCAATTTTTTTTTTCACTTACATGACACTAAAATACAAGCAACAATAAAAAAATCTCATTAGTTCGTTTGAAGCTCTCCTTGTTGAAGGATCTGTAAGGGAAATTAGTAGTTTTGGTATGACCATAAGTGAAGGAGATTACATAGTGGTTGATCATAAGCATAAGAATAATTATTACAAAACAACCAAAGTTCGTGTATCAAATGATTTTGCTGTTATGGTGGATCCTTATAATTTTGTGACTTTCCAGGATTTGATAGCTAGGAATCTTGACACTCGTGTTGCATTTGGTAAGATTTTATTTTACATTCTACCTTATCTACATGTAAATATTTATTGTATTACACATCTATAATACAACAACCATTTATTTTTTTTGTTCCAGATTTTCTTGGTCAGGTTGTGTCGACTAATCCCTTGAAAGTGATTATTGAAAATTCAAGGGAGAAACGATTGATGAACCAGGTTGATGAGGATCTAAGTTAAGTGTATGTGTTTAAAACATTTTATTTTCTAAAGTATTTTTCTACATGATACCATAAAACCATGTCGTTTGCATGAAAATGACATGTTCATCTACACTTCAATATACATGTTTATTTTAGCATTACTTAAAACATTTCGAACCCACTAATTATAGAATTCACCCTTTTTCATACAGGAAATAATTCGTTGATCATTATCGGAGGGTCCATTTATGATCTTCTCACTAACAAACTAGTCAAATGTTGTTAGAGCTCTTTCACATATTTTTTTATCACATGTCTTCATGCTTTTAAGTTTTAAATTTTCATCTTCAAATTCCCATTTTTTAGTTACATACGTTCATTGAAATTGTTATTTTTGTTTAACATACCAACTTACTTTGTTTTATCTTTATAGTAACAATAAAAATTATAAATTTACACAATAATATACATATTTCGATTTTTGTCATAGCATTATACTTTACAAAATACAATTCCCTTCAAAATAATTTTCGTCAGTAATTTCATCCATAATTTCACCCAATTTAAATTTTTATTTTCTTTATATAAATTTTTTTAAATGATCCCGATTTTTTCCCTCCAAAAGTATATCAAGCATTTATGTCTTAGATAATGTTGCCCCATTATAATTAGGGTTTTTGTCATAAAAGCCCCTAATTTTACACAAAAAAACCGGTTATGCCCAAAGTCGTTTTTTTTTTGCCACAGATGCCTCTACTACCGGAAAATTGGTTCACTTTTGCCCCTTAGCCAGATTTTACCTTCTGGGGCAGTCACCTTTGTCATAGAAGGTCTTCCACACCAACACCACCATCAACCACATACAAACCACCACCACCACTATCATCCATCATCCACCATCACCACCACTACCATCCATCATCCACCACCACCCAACGCCACCCTTATCCCTCCATCACATAAACCCATCATCACACCACCATCATCTTCTCCACTCAAACACACATACTGAAACACAAACATACACACATTCAAGCAAGAATTCAGAACTCAAAGAAGATTTTCAGAACAACTCAAACAAGGAAATGATTTTCAGAACTAAAGACAATTCAGAACTAAAACAAGAAGAATTCAAACACAATTCAGAAATCAAACAAGATTTTGGAAACGAGACTTTGGATCAAAGCAAACCCTAAACCCCTTCTATTTTTCATCGTCTTCTTCGGCTGTTGCTTATCCATTATCACACATGCCTGAAATCGATAACCCAATACCATAAGCCACCACACAAACACCTTAAAACCACCATTAACCTCCATTACAACCACTTTTCACCAACCTTCACAAACCTTCAATAATCGATATTTCAGCTACCATTGTCTTCTCCCTACCCTGTTCACGCACACAAAGACTTCCAGTCATCGCCATAGCCCCTTCAAGTTAAATCGAAGAGGGTATGGTGCGATTCGAATCAGAAAGAGAAGGGGATAAAGGTGCGATTGAAATCTATTGTTGTTACATACTTGCGTGAGGCAGAAAGAAACACGAAAGTTTCACTCTAGGATGGGCCAAATGCTGCTAAGGTATCGCCGTTTGAGAGGAAATAGTGAGAAGCACTAAACGAATCAGAGTTCTTCCGATGGAGGCGGCTAGGATTTCGTCTGTTGGAGGTGGATATGGGTTCATCTGATGGAGGATGCTAGGGTTTTATCTGGGGGGCTGGTGGTGAAGGCAGAGAGGGTGTTGGAGATGATGACCATCGGAGGTCGTGAAGGCATGTAGCTAGGGTTACACAAGAAAATAAAGCTGCGATTTTTGGGTGATTGTAATGATGAAGTCGTAGAGGGTGAAGGCATGTAGCTAGGGTTACACAAGATGGGATGTTGCCGGAGACAAGCCTGAAGGTGGTGGTGGTGATGATGACGTCTGGCGTTAGTGGTTGTGAGCAGCCACCAAGTTTTTGTTAAGAAGGATCAAGTGAGTAGATGACCGGCTACCTGGTGTTAACCTGATAAAAAGTCATAAGTGGTAAAATTTGCTCAAATGTTAGGAATTAATGAACATAAATTTGTACTTTGGGCATAACCAACTATTTTGTGTAAAATTAGGGGCTTTTATGACAAAAACCCTTATAATTATTACTTACCAAAATATATCCGTTTAATGAGGAATTTAATTTAGTGAAGGAAGTAAATGTTAATTCAAACAAGATATATATTCCATAATTATTACACGAGTTTATTAAAAAAATATCAAGATGTAAACATTAAGCATTTTTAAAATGAAATTTCATAATACATACAAACGATGATGTTGTACAATGAAATATAAAATTGAATAGACTGAAAAAAATAACTATTAAGACTGTCAATCTTAAAAATAATATATTTATGAAAAAAAAAATATAAAGTAAGATAAAAATTATAATATATTAGGAGATTTGTAAGTACAATTAGTAAAAACGTTATGATTATTAGAAAAAAAAAAGAGATTGTTAAGATTAGTAAAAAATGCAATATATTAACTAAATTATCACAACAGTAATGAAATGTCATTATTTGATATTTCATATAATTGAAAGATATATCAAATTACATTGATGATATATTAAAATTATTCAAAGTTGCGCCAAGACTAATGCAAAGTTCTTGCGAAACACCAAATAAATAAGAACAAACATAAAAGTTAGCACTTAATTTCATAATCAATTTAAAATAAACGAATCATGATTTAGAAAAAAATTTCATTGATGATATACTAAAATTAAATCCATATAAAATTTAATATTTCATAAATTATACTCTATGACTTTATTTGAATAATTGAAATAGTTGTCAATATTTAATACAGTGAAAAAAACGGTATATTGGTTGTCAATATAAGCTTAAATTAAGTAACCTTCTTATAGAATGAACGTCTAATTAGAATACTTATGCTTATATAACAATATCATAACCATATGTGACAGAGGAAGGTCATTCAACTAATAAAACAAAAGTATACAACGAGGTCCTTCAACGATTATAGATATTTATCGATTTCAATGTATCTTCTACACATTTCAATAATACCAATAACCATAAAAAAAAATTATAATTATTATGCAATATCTGTAGACATTTGTATGTTTTTATGCGTTCCCCGCGTTTAACGCGAGTTATAATCTAGTTAGTTATTACAAGGGTTTATCAAATCATTCTAACTTTTCTAACTTACAGATACAGAAATGACAATTTTTTTACAATAGGGCCCATTCGCCAACACGAGAGATTAAAGAATCGTGATTGGTTTATAACCACCTCACTAACATGTCAATAGAGTCATAATTCCACCATCACAACCATTGAATCAAAACTCAGTACCAAAGTCAAAAGAGCCACCAAGATGTCCAACACCAATGAAGGAGTAGTTTTGAGGCTTCACCAACCAAAAAACAAACTACACATAGCTTTTGACTTTCAAGATCAAACACTTAAAGCCATCAAAATTCAAGATTAATGGTGTTAATCTTATCATAAATCTAACACCCCACTACTTGTAGTATTTGTAACAAATTTGAATGCAACTATCAAATATTTTATGAATTTGTAGCAATACTTTGAGAAATAAAAACAAATACATTTAATAAATAATGCTAGAATCTTGCGAATCGAGATATATTAGAAAGCACTGTTCTTAAACTTCTAATCCCAGCTCCGGTTTTTGAGCTAACCATCATCTGTGCAATTAAACAAAAGAGCAAAATAAGGTGAAACAAATATCAAAGACCATTTAACTATAAATAGTGGATTTTTGTGTCTTTTTTTTTTTGGGTACAATGAGACTAATTATATAACATCTTAATAAATTATGAATCAGCATTTCTTACCAAGGGCTGAAGAGCAGATTTCTTTGTTTTAAGACTCTGAAAAATCAGATTAATCATATATACGCATTAGCTAAACATTTTCAAAAGAAAGGATTCAAAACTTTAAAAGTATAAAAAGACATAAATAACCTCCTCAATTTGCGTAGCGCGTCTAGCCACATCAACAGGAAATGCTAAATCCGTTTTTGTCAATACTATTTGGTATTTCGTTTTGGACCTGAGAATTTAAAATAATAATTTTAATTTTATAACATGAAAATTCTAATTTTTTTTTTACATGAATTTATAAAAATGAGAATTACCTTTCCATCAACTCAACAAGTTCATGATCCCTTGCCTTCATACCCCATTTTGTATCGATTAAAAGGCATACTCTTTTTAGGCCTTCACGGGTAGTTACATACTCTTTCACCTACAAATTACAAAATTAACCAATTTTACCCTTACATTATAGAAAAACTCACAATATTAACCAAGTATAATAATATTCATGAATTTTAATGCCATCATTTTCCCAAAAAAAAGTATATCACACTTACAAGCTCTTCCCATGATTCCTTGACTTCTTCTTTTGCATAAGCAAAACCATATCCAGGCAGATCAACTAAACAGAGCTTTGATCCAAGGTTGAAAAAGTTTATAGTCTGCAAAAGGTTTCATGAGTATCAATGTTTCCTTAAATTATACAAAACTTTGAGTAAAAAAGATGATGATGATGTGGCACCTGAGTGAGGCCAGGTTTGTCTGATGTTCTTGCAACACCCCATTGTCTTGTAAGTGAATTTAGCAAAGATGATTTCCCAACATTTGACCTACCTAATAAAAAATCAAAATTTAACCCACAAAATATAAAATATAACTTAATGTAATTATATAAATAAAAACTTTTACCTGCAAATGCAATTTCTGGAAGATCAGGAGATGGGAAAGATGAAGAAACTTTTGCAGCAGCAAAGAATGCAAGTTTGTTTCTGAAAACCTGCAAAATATTTGAAACCATGTGTAATTTGTTCAGCTTAAAAAATATAAATGAGTGCATGCTTACTGATTCTTCAATTCTCTCTCTTTCTGTGTTTGTAGAGAAGGGAATGTTATCTAAAGGGGAAGGAAGTTCAATATTGTATCCTGCTTTCTTGAACTCAAGTTCACGCCTACGCCCCAATAACTACAATCATAAATAGCCAAGAATAATATATAAATAGAAATCAAAACTTAAACATAACTAACACTGATTGAACCAATAAATATTTACATTTTCATTCACAAATGTTATGATAGAAGGGCTTAGTTGTATGGCACGAAACTGTGCATTTTTTGACATCTCAGCATTTTCTTCAGTGTCTTCTGGATCTTCCTTTTGCTCTGTGGTATTATCTGAGAAGCAAATAAACAGAATATATGAAGTTTATGTATTTGATTATTAGTCAGATATCTAATTCATGAAGTCAAACTGACCAATTGTAGGTGGGGTATTGTCAAACCGCTTATTTGCAGTGTCATTTGGATATTCTATACGGATTAATCGCCTCTTCCTTTTTGGTCGATCAAACATTGCCATTGAATCATCAGCCATGTTCTTCTTGTTTTGAAGTTTCTTCTTTCCATATTCATGATCCTCTGTAAAACTTGTCTGCTTGCTAGTTTCGTATTTTGCTCCTCTATTTTTCCTCAAGAAACCATTCCTGTTCTCACCATGTTCATCATTTTTTCTTGTATCACCTCTTTCCTCCTGTGATTCCCTTTTATTACCAGGAGCCTTCACGATGTCATGAAACTTGGTTTCACCATTAGTGAACTTATTAGTATAAACCCTCTTCTTCCTGTCAAAATCTCTTCCTGCAAAACCATTAGTTTCATTCCTCTCAACTCCCCCTTCTTTTCGACCTCTGTAATTTGATTTCAAGCCTCTTCCCCTACTATCTGTGTTACGTGATTTATCGTCAAAAGAGAATCCACCATCACGCTCAACTCTTTTACTTCGATAATCATCATTCTTTGATTTCATACTACCATTCCTCTCGCTATCGCTTCTTCGCTTATATCTCTCATCTTCAACATTGGAGCCCACGCTATCAGTTTTAACTCTTCTACTTTGACCTCTCCTATCATCCCCCCGAAACCCCTTTTCCTTAAAATCTAGGGTTTTAGTGTTTTCCCTGGACGAATTGTCAGATTTCCCTGATGCGAACTTTGCTCTTTTCTTAAGATGACTATACTTCGAGCTCGTTTCTTGATGCATTCTTCACTAATTCACAAAGCAATTACCAAAGCAAAAGAATCGACGATGTTTCAGTATAATAAAACCATTCAAATGTAAAAGAAGGGATGTGTGTGGAAATGAAGAGAGATTACAAACCTATGACAGTTTCAGTGCACTGAATTTCAAAAACTCATCAGCTTTCTTTTCGTTTCTCTTGTGATTCCTGCTTACCGAAGTTTAAACTCACAGCCCTTTTCGCAATATTGTTTGCGTTGCCGCCAAATTAAAGAGTTTCCTCGGCTCACTTAAGCACAACTGTAAACTGTTCATCTGTGTGCCCTTCTCTTTTCTCTGTATGAGTCGACGAGTGCTTTACACCTTACAGTTTCGTGTTATTTATTGGGCCCGGATCCACTTTAACCCAAGAATGAAAGGCCTGGTTTTTATTTGGGCTTCGAGGTTACGAAATAATCAACTTCTTTGTTGTTGTTGGTTGATACTTACAACTTAGTAAAATAACTACCGTTATACCCGTACGGTGGCCGGGTTGACCGATATAAAAAAAATATTTATTTTACTTTCTTTTAAAGCATCCTACATCCATTTGTTCCCATTATAGCATTGTACAATGATAAATCTAACAAATTATAGTTATATCATTCATATAATTTTTTTTATAGACAATGCATTAGGAGCAATGTTTATTCGTTGATTTGTTTAATATAACATCCTACTTTCAAGCACATTGCTATATTTTCTGGAGTTTTTAATTTAAGTATAGTATTTGCAAAAAATATTGACCAAACAATTGTAGTTTTTAACTTATTTACTAAAAAATTACATAGTCTAATTTTTAAAATAAAAATATTTTTTTAAAAGATTAATTTCCTTGTGGAGATTAAGGGGCTGTTTGACAGGATCTGAATTTTTAAGATCTGAATTTTTAAGAGGTCTGAATTTCTAAAAGGGTCTGAATTTTGAATTGTTGTTTGGTTGGAACCTCTGAATTACAGTGCTGAATTATAAAAATGACCGTTTTGCCCTTTTGTATTATTTTTGCTAAATTCAATGTTTTTGTTTATAAAATAACCAAATCAACTTCTTGAATAATTATGTAGAAAACAAAATACAAATTAAATAAATCAAAATTAAACATTAATCCAAATCAAAGTTAAATGTATGAATAATTAATTATTAATTTATGTACAAATCTATAATTCTATCTAGCCATGCATCTAATTACATACAAACAGAAAATCTTCACAAGTGGAATTCCATTACATTCCAACGCCAATTCATTCTCATTACCCCCTTCAATTCTAACATTGGGAAAATATATTCTCTTCCTTTCTCCCATTTTTGTAACCAGTGAAACCACACCTTAAAAACATATGTGATGAAATTCGTCAAACTGGAAACATGATCTTAAACCATCATCTTACCCATTAATCACTAATCATAACCCAAATTTTTTCAAAAAAAAAATACCCAAACGAACAAACAACCCATAACAAATGAATTCAGCAAATGAACTCAATTTCAACAAATTAATTCAATTTCAGCTATACATCCACAAATATTTCAATTTCATAATTTCATTTCAGCAAATGAATTCAACAATAATTCATCACATAACAAAATTCAGCACAATAAAGAACTACAAACACATTCTCAGCAAATGAACACATAATTCAGCAAGATCAAGAATCATATTTCAGCACAAATCAACAAGATTCAACAATAGATTTCAGCTATACATACACATATATCAACAAAAAAGAACAAGTTAGAACAAAGAGCACATTTTCAACAATATTGTTCAACAAATAAACACAGAGATGAACGAGTGCTCTAGTTACAGATGTCAAACCTCGATTCAACAAATAAACACAGAGATGAAGGGACGAAGAAATTCACAAAATTCGCGCTACAAGTTGCAAATCACAGTTACACAAAGGTTGCAATATCTATCACACAAAGAAATCGAGCAAATTACGTTCGATTCAAGCAAACATACTTAAGATTCTGCATAACTCGATCCGTGAATTCTCACCAATTTTAGAGAGAGAAAGATGGGGTGGGTGCTGATCTGGGAACAGGAAAGAACTAAATGCAAAAAGGGGAGGCATCAATTTCGTACCTGAACAATAGAGGAGATCAGAGGACGATGGGCGAGGCGATGCAGTATGGGATCGACGATGCGAGGAGGTGTTGGAGGGTAGCGACGGCCGGAAAGAGGGCTATGACTGGCGTCGGAAGTAGAGGCGATTGTGGGAGGCGAGGAAGAGATGAACGAGTGTGGGAGGGCACGAGGATAAGCGTGTCTTTTTTTTCAGATGCCCTTTTAGATCTTACCGAATCAGATGCATTTTTAATTTTTAGATCGTTTTTTAAGAGCTAAACAAACAATCTGAATCCTTAAGGTTCAGACATAGCCACTTTTAAGAGGCATTAAGTGGTAAACAAACAGCCCCTAACTTTGTTTTGGAAGGAGGGTACCTACCTATGCACAGTTGCACTTGCACACTACCAAAACGCCGCTTGGTAGACCATTTTCCATACATATTTGTAGTTTCTTTGGTGATTTTCTTTGGTAATTTTCCTATTTGATTCATTAGTCCCCGTAAATTTTAGTTCGTGGATTCATTGCCAAAGCCTTCATATTCATTGGACCCCTTATTTCCATTTTTAACATTTTTATATAAAATTGCAACACTATGTCCTCTACATTTTAAATAAGTAATTTGTTAGTTAATCATAAATAAACACTTTCAAATTTATCATCTATTTCTTACATATTCACCGACAATGGTCTAAATTTTATTTCTTAAATTTTGATGAAAAGTCAAAATGTCATTTTACAAAAATATCATCATAGTATGTGCATACATTTTACATCTTCGTACATTATCTAAAATGGTCTTTCAAAAAAAACATCAAACGATAGATACACTTTACTCATTTCCTTCACAGATGCAATGAAACTATTAACATTAACCATGAGCCAACCTTGAACCGTGGTCTTTGTTTCTCATTGTTTTCCAAAAATGACAACAAACTTTCAGGAAGCAACAAAGATCCTAATAGTACGAAACTTGCTTTCAAGGACTCACTTGAATTGCCTCGGAAGTTATGAAGGTTCAGTTACTGGATTGAAATTGATTTAGGAGTACCTGAAGAATATAAGACTTAGAATACAATGGTCATCTAATTTTGATTTTCACAATCTGCTTGAAAACACACCCTTAGTTTAGTAATCAGGAAAGCATTGGATTTTTTTTTATATGATGAGTTGAGTTGAGTGTGTTTTGCCTTTGAAGCTAGAGAAATTTGTGGGTTCCAGTAAAGATCTGGAAGGTCAGGATGTTGACATAATGACTGGGAGTTGTACAGTTGAAAACTTGCTAAAAGAAGAATAAATAACATTTACATTTGATCCATAGCTATCAAAAAATATTATAATGATCTCAAATTAAAAAGATCACATGACTAGTAAGGTTATAACTATTGTGCATATTTATGAGGTTTAACCATTATAAGGTGAAATATTGTACCAATTACTATTCAATTTTATGAGTGTAAAAACTTAGAATGTTATGTTGCTTATATTACTCAATCGAATAGTCACCAGAAAATGACTGTTATAAGGAAAAGTATAATTATTTCTCCTGTTTCGAGTCACTTTTTGACAGACCGATGTTAATAATATATATAATTATATAAGGTAAGGTTATGTTAGGATGAAGTTCAAATTAGTGAGAATTTGTACTACTTCCAAAAGGATTCCATGTTTAATTGCACTGTCAAACATACAAACTAAAAGGGAGAAATGGGAACCTGAATGATAATGCCAATTTGAAAAAAACCATCGTCCATTACAACTCGGAGTGTTATCTTTCAACGAATTTCTTCCTTACTGAAAATTTTGGTGACACTTCTTCACTATAAACCTGATGAAAAATTGTTAAAATATCAGAAACCATACAAGTTGATAAAAGATGGAAGAGAGAAAGTGCAAGAGACATGCAAAGTGTGTTGATATATGTTGGGTATATGTGTTGCGTCATTGGGCTTATTTGTTTTGTTCATTATGTAATCGGGTTTAGGCTTGTCCACCCGTTCATTAATTATTAGGGTTTAGCTATTTAAGGTGCATGCATGCACCGTGTTTTGTGAGATTGGAATAGTATTATAACCCTACCCGCGCTCTACAGTAGCAATTCTTCATCGAGTTCTTTTGAGGCGTGACTTTAATCATTCAGCATATTTTGATCCATTCTTTTGCTCTTGTTTTCTATTACCTGTTTGAATCTTGTGATCATTAGAGATTTTATCTCAACAACTGGTATCAGAGCAGGAGACTGTGTAAACTATACGCATCTCTTATGTTGAAAGAAGCTTTTTAGGGTTTCCGCTACTATTGGATCTGGTGTCAGTCGTCATCATCGTTCATTCATTTGTTGACCATGATCTTGATCTTAATATTACCCTAATCTTGTTTACACATCTGATTCATACAGGTTTTGTTCAATATACAAACATGCATTCAGACGATTCTCACGTTAACTCAATAAATCTCTCAAGCGGCATTAGATCCACAACAAGGATTCCTATCCTATTCCCTAGTGAATATGAAGTTTGGGTGCTGCATTTTGAAGATTATGTCCTTGGTCTGGAAGACAATGGCTATCTGATCTGGGATGCCATAACAGTTGGGGCGTTTGTTCATACAGGAACTAGAAGAGAAGTTAAAACTCAATCTGATTATAACAAGCTTCTTCTTGAAGTAAAGGATGTTCCACAAGATGAGAAGGAAAACTTAATCAGCAATGTCAAGGCAATGGGGATCATTAGGTTTGCCCTACCACCAGACACCTTTCGTTTGGTTAGTTCATACGATACAGCAAAAGGTATCTGGGACAGGCTTAAGGAATTGTACTCCATTGATGCTGATCTGGAGCATTCAACTCAAACGTTACTACTATCAGAGTTTGGAGCATTTGTGTAAAAGTCCGAAGAAATTTTGGATCAGACCTTCAATCGATACAATCATCTTCTCAGTAGGATGATGAAACATAAAATTGGACGTGAACTTATCGAGCAAAAGGTCACGTTCATGAATGGTCTAAGGTCTGAATGGAAAGATGTTGTTTCTACAGTTAAAGCACATGAGCAGTTTAAAGATTACACGTTGGCTAAGCTGGTTGGTATCCTTCGGTCACATGAGGATGAAGTAACAAAAGAAGGAAAAATTGTTTCTGGAGTAGGTTCGCTGACACTCGTAGCTAAGGGTAAGAAGGCTGCTGAAGACGAGGATTCGGAGTTTGAGCTCACAAATTGTGAACTTTCAAAAGAAGAGTT